AGATTAGTCCTTAAGCTTCAACTATAAATACACTAACCCATTTAGCTTCAAATTCATCCCATATCATTCTAGGTTTCTCCCAATACTAGAGAAATTAGAGAGTTTTCTTGAGAATTGTTTTCTCCTTTTTATCAAGAGAGAATTGCCATTGTTTTCTCCTTGTTAGATCGAGAGAAGTTGTAATTCCTATTTTTTCATAGTGAAATTCTTCTACCTTTTCCCGTAGTTTTTACCCTATATTATTTAGGGGGTTTCCACGTAAAATTTGTGTCTTCTTTATCTTCATTTATTTTCTCAAACTATCAGTTGCGATTTTGCTCTATCCGATAGCCGTATTCCGCAACAAAAAGAAGCATGAAATTTATCTGGCCCTGATGGCTTTTAAGGATAAATCCTCTTTCGCTATGAAAATACCTTGTTTAGAAATCATTCTAAACAGGAGTAACACGGCCCAATGCCATCAAGTATAACATGTGGATCAACTAAAGAGGTAGTAAAGAGAAAAAAAACCCTGAAAATAAGTCACATATAGGGGCAAAATCAGCCCACTAGTGAAGTGGGGGAAAATTATCGAAATAGTGGATGTCGGAGTTTATTTACATAAGTAGGGATCTTTCCAAAAATATCTCAATTTAATTAAGATATAGTAATTAAATTAATTCTCAATAGTTTATTAATTTATAATTTCACTTTAAAAAAGTATACCTATAATATTAAAAAAGGCACGATGTCAAAATTAGCCCCCCAACGTTTATCAAAATGGTCACTTTACCCCCTATTCTATTTTTTGGGAGCATTTTCACTCTTAACGTTTCATTTTAGGGCAAAAAGACCCCTAACATTTGACATAATAATCACTTTGTCTCTTATTTTTTTTCCTGAGGCATTTTAGCCTTTAACGTTTCATTTTAGGTTAAAAATCTCCTATTTTTTAGCGTTAATTGTGTGTTAACTAATAGTTTTTATCTATATAGGGAGTTTTTTGCCCCAAAGTAAAACGTTGGGGGCTAAAATGACCATTTTGATAAATATTAGGGGCTATTTTTTATCATTATGCCTACTAAAAAATTAAGTATACTTCATGTACCAACCAAATATTTAACCCTAAAAAGTACGGTAACATTGCATTTCACCTACATATTTTACAAACACTGCATGGCGTTGAAACATGATTAGTGTGATTAATAATATATACATATATTTATATTAAGACTTTGATACATTATTGTACAAGATTGGAAAAATCAGTATTTCCTAAAATAGGAAAAGGAACATGTCCAATTAAATTTAGTATGAACTGGTTTTTTTAGTAGTATTTGTTTAAAAATTAATTAATTAATCGACAATGCATACATACCATGCAAACGCAATTGTTCAAACCAAGACCTATAGAACGAATAACATTTTCTTTTACCATTAAGATCTCTCGATAGTTCAGTATGAACTGAATTTTAAATCTCAAATTTTGAGTAGACTTGAACTTGAAGTAGGTTCAACTGGATTCCTCAAAAAAAAATCCAATATTTTGAGAAAGTTCAGTGCAAGTTCTTATGGCCCAAATCGTGTTTAAATGTTTCCTTCGTTTTATTTTTCTCGGTAGACTTTCCATGTTGAAATTTTCAATTTGCATTCACATTTAATAGTAACTGTGGCTCACACGACACGACACGACACTACTAATAAAGATTATTTAGACTTTTCCCTTTGAAATTAAAGGGTCTAATTCTCAATTTCACCCTATGTTTTATGAAAATTAACAAGCTATTTCATCTACTTTAATTTATCAGTATTTGGCCTTAATACTTTACAAAAACACAGAAGTAAGTCTAGTTGGATGATACCAGAGGCAAAAACAAACGTCATGTTGGTGGGTAGAGTATAGTTGTTCGATTAGATCAAATTATAATTTCAAAAAATTTACAAGGGCTATATAGAAATTATGCCTAAATTAGCTATTGACATTTATATATGTTGATGGTAAAAGTGATATATGATGGATATAGGCTGTTTATCTTTTCCATTTTAGGTGGAGGGTATCTAGGTGAGCTGAAGAAGATGTGGAGAGAGAGAGGAAGAGAGAGAGAGAGAATCCTCTTTCTGTTTAGTATGACGATTTATATATGTCTCTTTAGGTTTAGAGATAGACCTTATTGACTTATAATAAATTTAATCGACGATGAAATTGACCGTGACAAGATTAATGAACTATATCATTTAAGAGGACATAAAAATTTGGAGATGGATACGCCTTGAAAGCACGCTTTACGGAGGAGATACAAAATTATGTTTACCAATAGTTAGATTAACTTATTATTTTCGTAAAGTACGAGGACCAAAAATCAATAATTTATTTGTAACAAATTAACATAAATTAACATTAAGTTCATGTGTTTAGACACAATTAGGTTAACTTCTTAGTTTTGTAAAGTATAAGGACCAAATTTGATAACTTAAAAAGATAGACAACCTTTATTAATTTCTGTGAAGTAGAGAGATTAAATTCGGAGTTAAACCCTAAATCAATGCCTTTGGAAAAACAAAAATGTTGGAAAACCTAAAGTCCTTTATAAGTCAACTCCATATTCAAATTGTCAAGTCTTTGTTTCGATCACTTTCAGTTTGATTAAAATTATTGGGAAGCTGAGCTATATATCTATGCTTCATCATAATTGGCCTTATTCTATTCCATCTTTTCTCTGAAAATTTTGAAAAGGGAAATGAATCATCCTTCTTTCTCATCATCATCATCATCTCTGGCTCTTGCTGTGTTGTGGTTATTATTAGTGATGCTTTGTTTTCCTGTTTCACTAAGCACTTATCTGATTTACAAAAACTGCAGTGAAGCAAGGTTCGAATGTGGGAACATCTCCATCGGGTATCCTTTCTTTGGGGGTCATCGATTACCCCAGTGTGGACATCCTGGTTTGGAGCTTCAATGTCATCATTCTAATACTACCACCTTTGAAATGGTTGGTGTAAGGTATCGGGTGATGGACATCCATCCGGACCGTCGAACTCTAAGGATTGCGAGGGAGGACTGTTCAAAAATGGGTTTTGTAGACCATTCTCCGATCAGAGATTCCGTAATGATTATGAGTGTGGATCTTGGGCCTGCTCCTCCTCTCCCGGTTATACCAATGCTACTCTGTTTTATGACTGCCCCCCGTCATCCTCATCCAGTCTTGGATTCTTCCCTTGCAATTCTTCAAGCTACAACAATGTTTCGGTAACGACGGGTAATATCCGCTTAGATGGATGTTTGGCAAGTCTCACTTTTCCCATTTTTCAAGCCTACTGGACAGGGTTTAGCGGTAATCCCTCCTTGCCATTGGTTTTGGGAGTAGCCATGAAAACAGGGTTCCAGGTGAAATGGAAGGAGGATACCTCAGCCTGCCTCAAGTGCAATGCTTCCGGCGGAGCCTGCGGTTTTAACATCTCCGACGGTCAAACATTCTGCTACTGCCCACACTAAGTCAGAATTTACTGGATATCGATACCCCAACGAATGCCGTCGCCAAGGTTTACTCTTCATTTTTTTTACAACAAAACAATATTCACTATTTGATTTTTACTCCATTATTTTCCATTCCACTGAACTTTAATAAATGATTAAAACCTAACATCAGACAGAGTTTCTATTTTTGATGGAACATTTAATATATATCAAATGGCATAATTGTTATAACTCTAGTTAGGACTGAAGATTCATTATTGGTTGGCCGGTCAATGATGTGATATTATTTTATTTTACATGAGTTAAATTTTATCATTTATCTTAAAAATATAATAATTTTGTAATTAATAAAAAATAATTATAATTAAGCCTATATATAGTAATTTTAGTTTTTAATATTTATTATATTGATATCATAAAAAATAAATTTGTACAAATTTTATTGCAATCTATATATCATATATTTTTCCATTTTTTTTGCAATAAAAGATGATCACTCAATAGTAACGCTAAACTCAAATTTCTAATTTCTAATTTTGCGGTAGAAAATCAATTTTTGGTGAAATATATTTTTATTCTTAAATATATATTTCAATTTACAACATAATATCTAAAATAGATATTTTCTTACCAAAAATTAGATTTAACAGTAATTTCAAACAGTTAAAATTTTAAACTGCACTTTTCAAAAACACATTTAAAAGTATTTTTTACAGCACTTTTAAATTACTTTTTTAATAGTAATACCAAATTGGATATAAGGTAAAGAGAGTGTTGTTCTTCCTTGGGTCATGGATTCGAGCAGTTATATCTTTAGGATGTGCATTATCAATAATTAAGAAAGATTATGAACAAAAACTATGTCGTAATCATTTCAAACTATAAAAAAATTATTCAAATTCAAACCGAACTTTAAGCCTTAAATCTAATGTTAATTACTAATTCAAGTCTATTTGATTACACCTTGAATTTAGTTAGCGTTTTTCACTTGATGTTGTGATTTACTGGTTTGTTTCATTCAAATAGGAATTTTACCATATCTTCATTTCATAATTATATAGTTTAAGTGACGACAATTATTTCAACCATCTGATTGTTGTTTGTTTGATCAAATATCGTTCACAAAAGTCATACTTATTCTTCCTACAAAATTACAACATATGTAATCGCTTTTAAGTAAGAATAGGAAGTGGTTAAAGGAATCGTTGTTGTTCCTAGAAGTCACGGGTTCGAGCACTGACAATTGTAAAAGTAATTAAACGCTCATTGTCAAATGATTAAAATTACTTAAAAAATATATTACTTTGTAATCATTAGAAATTTCCCTACATTAAACAATAAATTACAGGTTAAATGGTCTGATCTTCATTTAATCTATCCTGCATAAAGAAAAATCTTAAAATATTTTAATAAAGATATATTTTATTTGTCAAATTATTGCATATTCAAACAATTCCCGTCAAATTCTGCCAGTAAAGCTTTGTCTTTTCTGCCTCATAATAGATGTCTCCATAGACACTTTTGCATCACTCGTGACTCAATTTTCCAACACCTTATGTAATTTGCTGCACATTCCCACATTAGAAAAGGACTCAAACATTGAGCCTTAAGGATTAAAAACACTCCATAAATCCATTCAACCCTGCACTGTTGTAAAATCAACAAGATGCAACCAATTACTTCTCCGAAATCTTCCCTTCTGCCCCTCTTCTTCTTTCTCGTTGTCTCGATCAGAGCTCCGATGATTTTATCCGTCAATGATCCTCGATACACGAACTGCAGGACTATGTTATCATGCGGAAGTGTCGCAAACATCGGTTACCCTTTCTGGGGAATGAACCGTTCGAGTTACTGTGGTCGACCAGGATTCGAGCTCAAGTGCGAGGATGATGTAGCCAAAATCATGATGAATGAAAACACCTTACGAGTTCTTAACATAAACCCCGAACAACAGATACTTAAGGTTGCTAGAGAGGACTACTGGAATGGTTATTGTCCCAGGGAACTAATCGACACTGCAATCGACTTCAATCAGTTTGATTATAGCCCGAACCTTAGGAACCTCACCCTGTTCTACGGTTGCTACCTACCCGCAACCTCGACGTTTATTTTTCTTACCAACTGCTCCATAAATGGTACCCTCATGGATGTGTCATATTCTACTAGAAACGTTCTGTCTGATCCTCGCCCCAGGGTTTGCCGTAGAAGTGTCCTGATTCCAGTTTATGAAGCCGCCGCACAGGATCTTGAAGTGAACCCGATGACTATGGGGCAGGCTTTAAGGGGAGGTTTTGAGTTGCAATGGGAAGTGGATAACGATGAATGCAGAAGATGCAGAGATTCAGATGGTGTTTGTGGATATAATCAAACTTCAAACAGTTTCATTTGCTTTTGCAAATATCAACCTGGCGAAACCACATGTTTACCAGCAACAGGTATGTAATAGCTCTTCTGTATAATTCTGCTAAGTTGATGGTTGTTGCAAAACTTATCTGTTCATCGAATATCTCAAGCCTCAAGTCTTACCCCTCTTCGTTTGGCTCATTCTGAAGTCCAAATGTTCATAGCAGTTGCAGCAAATTGGATATGTTGCATGCCTGCATCGGATTGCATCCTAATCTCTCTAAGCAGCCAATGACTTAACGACTTTGACCGGTTTAATACCAATGCAGAGACATATCCTTTTATCCTAATCTTACAGCCAATCTGAAGCGTCTATGATGAGAAATGCTTTCTTCCTTCTCTGGATCACATGTGTGCCAAGTATACTATCTGCAGTAAGAGCTCTATTCACAAGGTTTAAATCAAGTTTCTCATTTTTCAAAAAAGAAGAATCAAGTTTCTCGATTCAATCAAGTCTATCTCGAACATTATTCACCACGAGGCTAAACAAATGTGTTTCGGACCTTCCTTGACGTCCGTGAGGCCTATTACTTCGTTATTTCGAGATATAATAAATGTATGCATTCCAAGAAATTAATAGAATCTCTGAGGTTGCAGCTCTCCTCTTGGTCTCGCTCACAGCCCAACCCAACTCCTCTTGCAGTAAAAAAAAACAAATGATTTACTTTATCTTCCTCGTTGTTGCAGAGTATGCAGTCAATTGATATATCCATCCCCAACTGAACAATCTAGACTTAGTAGGGAATCTATCAAGAGTTACCAATCATGAAATGATCGAATGCCGAGGGATATGAAAATCGAACCAGACTAAGCGATGTCGAGTCACCTTGTCGCTCTGTGTATAAGTTCTTACCATATGGAGACTCTCTTGTAGTTAGGTCCAGGTAAACTGCAGGGCATATGATAACGAATTTAAGTGCTATAGGCCTCAATTCTAGAAATACATATGCCTGGTGAGAAATGCTTTCCTCAAGCCTTTAAGAAACTCGAACTGAGTTTATACATTCTGAGTTCCGAGTCCTGAGAGCAGTATTTTATTAAACCATGTTCTTTACACTTATGATTATAATATTTCTATGTCAGGCTACCTAATTTTTCCGTTGACTGGCCCTTAAATGTGACCTGCAACAGAAGCTTCCTGTGGAAAAATTTCAACTTGGAACTCGTCAAAGACCAACTACTTTGATTATGAAGATAAACACCAATTCATTTCATGTCCAACCACTTCCAATAATTCGCTTCCAACTCTTCTTCTCTCCGAAAAATGCATCCCTCTTCGTGCTTCATCTTCTTCCTAAGCTTGTTATTGAATTTCTTTCCCAAATATGTGTTTGCCAACAGTTTCTTGAGCTGCAGTGTTCGACCTAGTTGTGGAAGCATTTCGAATATCGATTATCCTTTCTGGGGATCGGACTTGAATCGGCCGGAAAGTTGCGGATACCCTGGATTCCAGCTCCACTGCAACGAAAATGAGCCAGAAATCACGATCATGGATGTTACATACCGAGTTCTTGCAATAAACAATTCTTCAAAAACCCTTAATGTTTCTAGAACAGATTACCGTGACGATATTTGTCCCACTCGTTTCCAAAACTCCAGTTTCGAAAACAGCCCTTTTCAATACACCCCGGATACTCGAAAATATAAGCCTGTATTATGGTTGTCAGTCTCTCGCAGTTCCAGTAAATCTCACATCAATCAGGCAGATTTCTCATCAATTCGAATGCCCAATAAACGAGAGAAACACGATGGGTTATTATGTGATAGGGGACTTCTGGGGAACTGCCGTCGGCAATTACTTGGGATTGTGCAGTGACAGAGTGATTATTCCAGTCCCGAATTCCCAAGTTTCGTTATTGGAGCGAAACCAGAATCCGGATGCTTTGGAAGAAGCGGTGAAAGTTGGGTTTATTCTGCAGTGGTCTGCAGATGATACTCAGTGTGAGGGTTGTTTAAACGACGGTGGTCAGTGCGGGCGTAACTCCACAGGTGAATTTGAATGTTACTACTGCCCAGAATCAGAAGGCGATCTTTGTCCCAAAAGGTCTCCAGGTACATCTTCGTTCTATGTTTACGCCTGTTGAAATATCTCGTGAACTGATGAACAATTCCGATTAGTGTTGTTCCGGCCAAACAGTTGAGTGTTAGATGTAGTTAGTCTTGACTTTGGCTCTCTAACAATAAATTTTAGAATAAACTAAAGTAGATACCACTTAAGTTTGTCAGTTGCTTAGTTTATATGATTCAACTTTTAATTTTATTAATTAGAATATGAACTTGTAGTTTTATATTTAATTATGTCATTATGTTGTTAAGTTAATAATTTGATTAATGATTGTTGACCTGATATGTCATACCAAAACGATATCATTTTAAATATTTAACTTTAGAGAGTTGATTTTTTCATTAAACTATTAAACAATCTACTTTTTTTAGCACTATACTTTCCTTCAGCTGTTGGTAATCACTCACCATCCTTATTGATCATCTTTTGTGATAAGATTAATATCAAAACGTTCAAATTTCATTAATTTTTTATCTCTTAGGATTGGTTTCCATGAAACTCACTCAAAATCTATTTCAATGACCTTCCAGAAATGATTATTCAGCTCAGTTGGTAGGACATTTCATAATTTGGAGGTCTCCTACGGAAGTTGCTCTCAACCTAGTGTTGGGGGCAGCCTACTATCTTACCTCCCCTTACCCTATTACATATGGGAACAAGGGACAACCATTTTTATTTTCAATGACCTTCCAATTAAAATTAGTTTTGAGATATGTTGTTAGTCTCCTCAAAATAATATTTCTCGTCGTTCAAATTTTAAAACAAACGTTTTAAATCTCGTAAATCTAAAAAAATATCCAAACATCTAAACAGATATATTTTTTTGTTTAGTTTTGTTGATTTTGAGTGGATTTGTGGAAATTTTATTCCTAAGAGAAGAAAACTAGTGAAATATGACCGTTTTAGTATCGAATTTATCGGGAAAGACGAGTAGTAATGGATATTGATTCACTGTTAGCAACAGTTAAAAATTTTTATGACAAAATCAATACACCTTTAAAATTTAATGTTTAAAATAACATCGTTTTAATTTTAAAAAAACCACGTCAATATTTATTAACCATATTATTGTCATATTATTGGTTTAGTGATGGAATGATATAATTAAAATTTAATATTATAATTGAAAATATTGAAAATTCAGTTGTATAAACCATATAGGAAAACAAAAGGACAATGGCCCATCAAATATAGGATTATGGAAACGCCTTTATTTGCTTTTCCCAAACGCGTATTCTGTTCACCTCCTACACACTTTTGACAGCTTCAGCTGTTGAATTTCGTGGTCAATTATGGACAGCCATCTTTTTAGCTGCTTTCATTTCATTTGTATGCGCCATCTCAGCTTCAACCTTCCTTTGTAGGCTGTTTTCAAATTCAGCGTTTCCCATTTGTTTTCTGCCCGGCGTTTCACACCTTCACCGGTGGCCCACCACGCTTCCGGTCTGACCTGCTCCATCAATATCACCTTTTGTTACTCACCTACTCACTGAGTTACTAAGTCATCTAACTCGAGCTTCGAGCTCGACCCAACAACGACCTTTGGAACAAACCAATCCCATGCATATAAAAATTGGATACAATTCGGATCAATTTGCTATTTTTATTTTTGGCTTTTGCAGAGAACTAGTTCCGGTGAATTTTATCTAACATTTTGAGATTTTTCACCATTGCAGGAGGCAATAATAATGTCAAGCTTGGACTAGGTATAATCTTGTACCCCATTTGTAACATACTGCACTGTTTCCCAGAACTTGTAGCATTGCAGGTACCAAGTTTAATCAATCTCTTCCTTTATCTTCAGGCCTCGGAATAGCCGGTGCGGCTATCTTCGGTATACTTCTAGGAATCGGAATTATACGTTTCCGGCAACAACGGAAGAAGAAAATCGCAGCCCAGGTTATTAGCAGAGACCTTCTAACATCTCATTCAAGCAAAGGGCCATCAATCTCCACAACTAATACATCTCAGACCAATTCTTCATCTTCCACTTCAAAATACGACATTGAAAGAGGAAGCACTTACTTTGGTGCACATGTTTTTAGTTATGAAGAACTTGAGGAAGCCACTGATAATTTCAATCCTTCTAAACAGCTTGGAGAAGGCGGCTTTGGCACTGTTTATTATGGTAATAATCTTCTCAACCTTAATGTGTTTGCAACCTAGAAAACACCCTGTTTATCTTTGATTTGCTTGATCAGGTGAACTCAGGGATGGGCGTGTAGTGGCTGTTAAGCGCTTGTACGATAACAATTTCAAGCGTGTCGATCAGTACATGAACGAGATCGAAATCCTCACTCGCATCCGTCATCCGAACCTTGTGACGCTCTTCGGATGTACCTCGAGACGTAGTCGAGAGCTTCTCCTTGTTTATGAGTTCATTGCGAATGGAACCGTGGCTGATCATTTGCATGGGAAGCTCTCCAACGCCAGTTCGCTGACTTGGAATGTTCGTTTGAGCATCGCCGTTGAGACGGCAAAGGCGCTGGCTTACCTCCATGCAACAGAGATCATACACCGCGATGTTAAATCGAATAACATTCTCCTAGACAAGAGTTTCCATGTAAAAGTGGCTGATTTCGGATTGTCACGATTGTTTCCTAATGATGTCACGCACGTCTCTACTGCTCCACAAGGCACCCCGGGTTACGTCGACCCGGAGTATCACCAATGCTACCAACTCACCGAGAAGAGTGACGTTTATAGTTTCGGAGTCGTCCTGATCGAGCTTGTTTCAGCGAAACAAGCAGTGGACATCACCAGACATCGACATGACATAAATTTGGCTAACATGGCAATCAACAGAATCCAGAGTCGAGCACTGCACGAACTGGTTGATCCATCTCTCGGGTTCGAGAACGATTTCACGGTGAAAAAACACAGTAACAGCAGTGGCGGAACTGGCGTTTCGATGTTTGCAACAGGAGAGGGACATGAGACCTTCAATGGGAGAAGTGTTGGCGACATTGAAAGAGGTAAAGGATGGAAGATCAGAGGCTGAAGTGGTGGATATTGGATCGGATGATGTTGGACTATTGAAGAGCATTCGTCCTCCAATTTCCCCAGATTATTCCACTGATAAATGGGTTAGCCTCTCTACCATCACAATCACCTAAATCCTTTCTAGTTCTGATTATTTGTTTCATATATAAACACAACTTGTATCCAAT